CGTCCCGTTGGGAACGTCCCGCCCCGTAAGGAACGTCTCGTTGGGAACGTCCCGCCCCTTTGGGAACGTCTTATTGGATCGTCCCGCCCCGTTGGGAACGTCCCGCCCCTTTGGGAACGTCCCGCCCCTTTGGGAACGTCCCGCCCCTTTGGGAATGTCTCGCCCCGTTGGGAACGTCCCGCCCCGTGGGGAACGTCCCGTTGGGAACGTCCCGCCCCGTGGGGAACGTCCCGTTGGGAACGTCCCGCCCTGTGGGGAACGTCCCGCCCCTTTGGGAACGTCTTATTGGATCGTCCCGCCCCTTTGGGAACGTCTTATTGGATCGTCCCGCCCCTTTGGGAACGTCCCGCCCCGTTGGGAACGTCTCGTTGGGAACGTCCCGCTCTGCGACGCTCCGATGGCAGACGATGTTTTCAGATCCTCCAGAAAAACGAGTTCAGATTTGAGACGACATCAGAAATCTCCAACAGTCATTCATTGGTTTAGTTAATGTATGGAAACGGTTTTCTGTCCTATTGATAATCAATGTTTTGACATGAGAAGGATTTTTCAGCTGCAAATTCATCCTTTACTTCAAATGATCAAAGTTCACTAAAGGAATCGATCAGATTAATGACGTATCGATTATTCAGATCCTTCACTAATTTGGTAATCGATTAATCGTTGGATTGTAAAGATTCAAAGGCAGTTTGGGTGGAAAACATTTACAGCAGTAAATGTAAAAAAAGTATTTTATATTTAGACATTAATTTAAATTTTTATTTGCATCTTTTAACATTTAAGTGGTTTAATAAAAATCTCCATTTTACTAAAATAATAGTTTGGAGCTCTAAAGATGTTTTTTCTTTTGAAGGAATTTAATTGTTTTGCTTTTTTTTCTAATATTGTATAAAATAAACTGAAGTGTTTTAAGTGAAGAGTCATCAGAATGTGCCAATAATCGATCAGTAAACTAATCTGCAGCTCCGTTATTTGGTTTATGAAATATTTCTTCAGTTTAATTCCTGAAGTCGTCCATCTTGTTTTTCAGGAAACGCTTGAGGCGCCAAGATGAGTCGGCGGCGAGCGCACACGCCGGCGCCGAACGACGAGGAGATGCCGTACAGCGACGACGAGACGGACGACGAGCTGGACGAAGACCTGGACGAAGAATCCGAGAGCGACGCGGACGAGCCGCAGGACGCGGATCGACCCGCAGAGGCGGCGGCGAGGGGCCCGGGTGAGACGAACCGGATCAGAACCGGATCAGGATCCGAGTCGCATGGAGCGAAAACTTCAACAAGCATTAGAGCCAGATGAATAAAACATGATCAGGATAAAGGCGTAATATGAAATAATTCTGAGAATGAAAGTATAATTTTATGAAAATAAAGCTGTAATATAATATTTCACCTTTTTTATAGTTTTATTTCCTGAGGAAATGAGGATCACTGAACGTTTGAACAAACTTTGTTTTCAGAAATTGGCTGGAAGGTGAAGGCCAACGACAGAGAGTACCACCAGCTGCCCGAGTTCAAGAAGAAAGTCTTCCTGTGCTTTAAGAAGAGCCGATACTCTGTAAGCCATCCCAGTTTCCACGGTTTTCTCCACCTGCTGCGGTGACAGCAGATCTTTCTGCTCCTGAAACCCGAGCGTCCGGATCGGCCGACGCGTTGGGCTCAGCGGGAGGCGGAGCGGCTGGACCAGTGGAAAATAAACATTTATTCTAGATCTAAATGAAACGATTCAAACCTTCAGGACGGAAATCATTTACTCTAGACAGGTTTCTGAGTGTGAGAAGTAAAATTTGACGATGCAAACATTAAATTATGGTATTATTGTCATAAGGATAAAAAACCTATTTATTGCTTCATTGTTTGACCCAGAAATGCTGTTCTTCATATTTTAAATGCGTTTCTTCAGGACGTTTGATTTACTTCACATAAAAACTAAATTTAATCATTTTAAAGTATTGAAAGTAAAATATCCAATAATTTGGAGGAGCAGCAGAAGTTCTGGTTCCGGTAGAACCGGGTCGACCGGACCATCAGTCCCAGATCTTCAGGTTTTCCTAATCAGGGATCAAAGTTTGGTAGGAAGAATTTAAAGGACAAACGTCTGAACCAGAAACCCAGAAATACGAGTGGGGAAGGTTTTAACACCTGGTGACGACGTATTCATCGTCTTTAGATTATCCAGGTGATTCCAGGTGATTCCAGGTGATTCCAGGTAAGAAAAGACTAAAAGCTCCTCCAGTTGATTCTGGTTCTCAAACATTCAACCGACTCTGGATGATGGCGGCTTAGGAAGGTGTTCAGAACGTTCTGGGTTCTGGTCGTTTTGATCAGACCTGAGCTGAAGGTCCAACAGGTGGATTAGAAAGTTGGACAGAAACGCCTGGATGAGGGTTTTATTTCTCCGCTGTTCCTCTAAGCCTGGACATGATGATCATGTCCTCCGTCTCTAACGGGACACTGAGCATCAGGCTGAGCTGTTCTGGTATCTGGTTCAGTCTGAAACCGGTTCTGGACCTCTGACCGAACCCAGTTAACTTTTAATGGGAGTCAACAGATGACAGAAGGTCATGATCCCAGGACGGGTCAGTGGACAGATCCTCTCGTCTGTCCCCTCGTCTGTCCCCTCGTCTGTCCCCTCGTCTGTCTTCTCGTTTGTCCCCTCTCCTTTCATTTAATGATGTTTGTCTCGTCTCTGCAGGGAAACGCCATCAAGACGTACAAATACAACGTCATCACCTTCCTGCCCCTGAACCTGTATGAGCAGTTTAAGAGGGTGGCCAACATCTACTTCCTGGCTCTGCTCATCCTGCAGGTCGGCGTGACTTCCTGGTTTGGTTTGTTCACTGGTTTGGTTTCTCTGGTTTGGTTTCTCTGGTT